TGGTGATAGATCATACAAAAGGGTGACACCAGTTTAACCAATAAAACAATTTGAATCAATTAGCGCTGAGGAGAGTTCCAATGTGTAAAATGTATGTCAGCCCGAGTAGGAAAGCATTGATTAACTCGACCCAGAATAGCCTCCTCCTGACACCGATGACCCCCTCCCCCTGAGCCTGCCATGGACAAGGGGCCAGGGGCCAGGGGCCAGGGGCCAGGGAACAGACTGACAAAAACCCCAAGGAGGACCAGCAGAAGTGTTACTCAAACTAAGAGAAAGCAAAGGATCAGAGACAGTGGGGAGCAGAATGCTATTTGTGGACTCAAAACACACCAAGAGGCTATAATTCCACATTCCAGGTCAGACATCAAGACAAGGTTTCTCCAAAAGTACGGAGTCTGCTTTGAACTAATATTCTCCACCTTCAATTTCCAAAAATACAATTGGCCTGACCTTTCAAAGATGCCCCCAAGATTCATTGGGGAAATAAAATACTGCACTATTATTGGAATTTGTAGAAAACTAACCTCATGTTACACATTTCTCTCTCTAGGGAAACATTTTTTGGTATTAAAATAAAGTTACAGGCTTGTGGAAAGGACTGTGGAAATGTCTGTGTTTAAAGACTTAGGTAAAGAGATGATTACTGGTACAACCCACCCCCAGGCATGGATTCACTCCTCAGAGTAACCTGAGATTTGGAAAGAAAGTAAGTATTTAGTTCATTTTTCTTTTCAAAGGAAAATGTTTTTGAAGACATTTCTTTTTTAAAAAGATAGGTATCTTTTAGGGGAAGAGAAGCCTTTTGGGGAATTTGCAATAAAATGTGAATACCTTCACAGTGCTCCCTTTGCAGCAGCACCCAGACATTTCCCTCTGGTATAATCATTAGATGATAGTGCTTCTCATTTCTCCCTCATTTTTAGCCTTAAATTCACCCTATTTCCAAACCCTCTTTCCATGGGGCTTAAGCTTTCCTTTTAGCAGCCCATGCACTGAGAACGGTGATCAAACCATAACTCACTTTGTGGGAGACCCTGAAGTCAAAGAGAAGGCAGGGGAAGAGAAAGAACTAGGGTTGGCCCTGAAAACTTTGAAAGAGTGTGGAGTCTTCATTTTTCCTACAAAAGGGGCTTGAGAATAACAATAGTACTGTTTAGTTCAACAGGCTGAGTAGGAGAAAGACAGTTTTCCTTCTTTTTAGGGATTGGGGAGGGAGTGATGGGCTGATTTTAGTCCTTTAATGCCCTGAGAAACTAGGAGATGAGTGAAAAATTATTTCACCAATTCCTGAACCCTCTATCAAAACAAATAGTACGATGTGCCTGGCTCTGAAATCCTCCTCACAATATTCATTTTTAAAAGCTGCAGATCCTGAGGAACAATAAGCCCCTCACATTCAGTTGAGTTTCCTTGGTTTTATTAACCTTTAATTAAGTGTTATGATTTCATGTATTTATTCTTGTATTTACAGTTGTGTACTATTGATGCTATGACCCAGCATGGTTGGTCTTTGGGCTCAGTGGAGGTTGTTCCAGCATTTCCACAGTGTGACTTTCCAATTTGAAGCCTGTGTTTCACCAGACAGCAATTGAAAATTCAACTGTGGTAGTAAAGGAAGAACATAACATTTTCCCCACTCCCACCCCTACTCCCAGCAGGTATCCTTCTTAGAATGTTCTCCAAATAGCCTCCTTTCTTTCTGATAAACTAGCCAGTGGTTATTTTAACTCTTAAGAGCTGATCAATTTGGAGATAATATTCATTAATACCCTAGGATGTGCCCCATTTAGGGAAACCATAGGGAATATTTCTTTCTCATCCTTGGTCCCTTCTTTCATGATTCTCTAGAAAATTAAATTCTCCAGGGGAACTGACAACTTGTTCAAGGGCTGGTCAGTGTTGGGAACCTCCTTGATTTCCTATCATACTATTACCTTTTCCTTGCACTGAGGTGACCTGCATAGATCTTACAAAATGGGTTAAAGAACTATTCCAAATGAATAAATGGATAAATTTACACTCTAGTGCCTATACCCAACTGTACACATTTTAAAATAGACACTGTCACAATAACTCTCTGTGTCTTTTCCTAAAAGGACACTCTATGAGAGTGTCTAGGGACACTCTTCATGTTTCCTTCCAAGTTTCAGATTGGGCACCCTTTGTGGAAACTTCTCTCCCTTTTCTCGTTTCTCAGTGTTTCAACAAGGTGCTGACACTAATCTATTTTCTCGGCTGACTATGGATACTGTCTAAGGAGACACACAGCCTACTGGTTTTCACCCTGTACCAGGGGAATCATTCACCAAGGACTGTGGCTCAGAGAAATGAGAACTGGACAAAAAGAAGCATGCATATGGTTAATTTGGAGGCATTCTCCTAGAATCCAGGGCCTCCAACATTTAGATCCTTGGGATGCGCGGAAACTATTCAGCTTTCCACACCTAAATCAGATTTGTGGATCCAGCCCTTTTACTCCTGAGTTGGGAGATTGTCAGTTGTGGGTTGGTTAGGTGGTAGCTTTTGTGCATGCTGAGAACGGATCTCTATGTTGCTGGCTCTCGCTTTTGCTCCCCCCTCCCTCCCTGTAACATGCCAGCCCTTTAATGTGGAGTGTCAGGCAGACGGTGACGTCATCCTGCCCGCTGGGTGGCGTCCCCTCGGTCCGACACGAGTTCAGAGACAGAGAAAGGCTCTGTCAGACTCCGCTCCACTTGGGGCTCGCCTGCCTCGGGTTTCCGTGTACCCGCACTTTCTGCGATCCAGGGGACACCCCGCCGCAATTCAGGCCCTCACTGTACCCCCGCTGGGGTTCTAGCGCCATTGGCTCGCACCAGCGTCCGGATCTTCGCGCGCAACCCGTCCGAGTCCCGCCTGCTGGATTCGAGGACCCGCTTGGATGCTTCGCCTCCGAGCGCCCTCGGAAGATGGGCCAGCAGCCACGCGCCTAAAGACAACTAGGGGTTACCAGGTACTGCCAGCACCCGCCGGCCCTGACTCGGCACACAGTTCGCGGCTATTTGAGTTCTCCAGCGGTGGAATTTTCCGCGTTAGTTTCAGCGGCAGCGGTGGGCTTTGGGTGTGATGGGTTTGGGAGGCAAGACAATCAAATTGGGGGGTCACACTGGCTGATGAGCCGAATAGAAAAGTTCACCAGCTTTATTTCTCAGTTCAACTAACTTTTAATTGTCTCTTTAGCCTTTTATCCCTTGAAAGATCCCCCAGTTTGAACCGTCTTATTTGCGTCTCTGCTTCGATAGGAGTTTCTGGGAGGGCTTGGGGTGAAGGTGGAGGACACCTGGAGGAGACACTGCTGCTGGGTCCACGGGCGGCGGCTAAGGCTGCTGGTTCCCACCACAAACCAGCTCCTCACCAGCACTAGCCCGCTGCTTGCATTTCTGGGCGCAAGGGTTCGAGTCATCTATCACAAGGTCTTACTGAGATAATAGGACTCCTAATTGGGAGGGAAACAAACATTGAAGGGGAGTTTGGTGAAGCTAGGCTGGTTGTTAGGCTTAGGTATCGCTATGCCTGGAACTGCTGTTCAACGCCGGGTTCCCCAGAAATATTGTCTCTGATCCATCCAAAGTGAAAAGCCAGGCTCTCCACTCACCGGTTTGATGTGATAGGTTTGTTTGGCCTTCCAGGAGGCCACAGAGTGTAATGAGAGCTGAGGGTCCCTAAGGGCTGCAGGCCAAAGGTCGTGGTATAGATGTCAGAGGGGCCCAGAGAAGGAAGACAGGTATGACAATTTGGGTGAAGGGGTAGGATATCGTATCCTTTGAAATCAATGTAGTAACAAAATCTGGTGTACTTTGTCAAGAGTGGCTATGTCATGGGCACTGGTGATTTTCCAGGGCAAAGTGATTTGGCCTAATTGCTGGGCAAATCACTGTGGGAAGGTGTCATTTAGCCTGTTTTAACTTGCCAGCATTGTCACATAGGTTTCTCTTTCTATATATTTCAACTTCCAGCGTATTTTCTGGTATCCAATGGGATACTATTGGCCCAAGATGAAATTAGGAATTTTATGGTAGATTCAACCACGGGCTTCTGATTTCAATGCTTACACAATTATCTACTCTAGGGATTATCATTACTGTAAGGCACCCATAAAGATACAGAGACATAGATAAGGGGGAAAATGTCACAGAGTTTGATTCACATGAAATTGAATTTGCATTTTAAAGTCCACCAATAAAGATCACCAAGAATTATTTCTTTGCACTATTTCTTGGTTTAGCACACTTGCCTGCACTTACAATCTCCTTGTCATGGAGAAGACTGGAGAACAATTTTTAAGTGTTTACAGGTCTTCAACTTCATCCGTTTAAATTACCTATCTGAAACCAGAACCGCTCCGTTCAACCAATGGGTTTTTGAAAAACTGAAATTGAAACACCTTGTTTTGGTACAATTAAGTATGTGGCTTTACACATTTCTCCACTTTAAAAAAAAACCTCTAATCCTCTAATCATCATAACAAAATATCTAATAGCAAACAAAGATGGGAGGAAAGGGATTTCGTTTTGCTTTAATGAGCTGTGTTTAACCAATGGTGAATTTCCCCAAGGAAACCACAGATACCACAAAAATCATTTTTTAAAAGGTCTGGGTTTGTTTTTTTTTTTAACCAAAATCAATTCATTTTCAAGCAAATGTGAGTGGTCTACTCTGTCTTTAAATTTGGGTTTTAATGGCCAAACCCATTTTCCATAACTTTATAATCTGTACTAGTCACAACTGTCATTACTGTCTCATTCCTAATGGATACCTTATTCTATTCCAACAGCTTCCATTAATCCGGGATGAGGTTCTGTGTTCTTAGGAAATGACAACTTTTTAAACATATGTAAATATAAAAAATATTAAACAACATATATAGTTAATTTACTTTGGATGTTTAAAAGAAAAACTGCCACCTCCAAACATTTTCTAAAGGAGACCTTGAAAGAAATTAAGTGATGACTTTATTGCCACTGAAACTTGGTCACTTGCCCAATAATAATCATCTCTTAACCAAAGCAAGAAAGTTATTGTAATCCTTCAGTTGGTGACTAGACCCACCCCTCTGTTTTGGACTGAAAAGTCTCAATTCAACACTCTCTCCTTTCTTTTCCAGTCTCCAAGTCCAACCCGGAGGACCCATCCCGGAGTTCCTCGGTGGAGGAGATGGCTTCCAGCCCGTTGCCAGGGCCCAACGACATCCTGCTGGCGTCGCCATCCAGCGCCTTCCAGCCCGACCCGCTGAGCCAGCCACGGTCAGGCCACGCCAACCTCAAACCCAACCAGGTGGGCCAGGTTATCCTCTACGGCATTCCCATCGTGTCTTTGGTGATCGACGGGCAGGAGCGCCTGTGCCTGGCGCAAATCTCCAACACTCTCCTCAAGAACTTCAGCTACAACGAGATCCACAACCGCCGAGTGGCGCTGGGCATCACGTGCGTGCAGTGCACGCCGGTGCAGCTAGAAATCCTGCGTCGGGCCGGGGCCATGCCTATCTCCTCACGCCGCTGTGGCATGATCACCAAGCGAGAGGCCGAGCGTCTGTGCAAATCCTTCCTGGGAGAAAACAGGCCACCTAAGCTGCCCGACAACTTCGCCTTCGACGTGTCTCACGAGTGCGCCTGGGGCTGCCGTGGCAGCTTCATCCCTGCGCGCTACAACAGCTCTAGGGCCAAGTGCATCAAATGCAGCTACTGCAACATGTACTTCTCACCCAATAAGTTTATTTTCCACTCCCACCGCACGCCTGACGCCAAGTATACGCAGCCAGACGCAGCCAACTTCAACTCCTGGCGCCGTCATCTTAAACTCACTGACAAGAGCCCACAGGACGAGCTAGTCTTCGCCTGGGAGGACGTGAAGGCCATGTTCAACGGCGGTAGCCGCAAGCGCGCGCTGCCCCAGCCCGGCACGCACCCCGCCTGCCACCCTCTCAGCTCGGTCAAGGCGGCCGCAGTGGCAGCTGCAGCCGCGGTGGCCGGGGGCGGGGGCC